AAAAATACAACTTGCCTAATAATTCTGCACTCCCTGTATATCATTCAGAAATTTTTACAGGTTGTTGTGCAATATTAAGTTATTTAGTAGTCTGTGCTCAAATTGGGACTTTGAAGGAGTGCTGGACTTGTTTCATATTTTAGCATGCCAATACTCAGAAAGTTTTTGAGATATCTGTCCCAAATTGCAGATCCTGATTCATTTTGACGGTAAAAAAGACCAGTTGAAATAGTTTTTGATATTCATGATCAAACATTGCGTCAGATTTCAATTTCATGGAATTTGAAGATGCTGATAATGCTTTAAAAGTTGACAGATTAGAGATGGAGTGACCCTGGGGAAAGTCTGTTTCACAGTTGTGATATAACATATACAGATACATGAAGCAAACGTATTTATGACTGTTACCAGAGAGCCTGCTGATGTCTGCTCTGAAGGCGTCTCTTCCCAGGATCGTGTTTCCACTGGAGCTCTTTCCTACTCCAGTCCTCCCAACAAGAACCAGCCTGAATACTGTTACAGGGTCACAGAGAGGAGAAGAACATGGAGCTGAACATCAGAGAATTTTTAAACCAGCATTTTGACAACAAGCTTAGTCATGCACAGTTAGGGAACATCAGCATCTAATGACTGACAGCCAAACTGAGAAGAAACAGATTGACCTGCTGTGGGACAAACTGAAAATCATCCGCTCTGTGCACACAGCAGTGACATGATGATATGTTAGGAGTGATGAAGGTTTCAGACCTGGAGGTCGTTCCCTACTCCTCCTCCTTTTAGCTCCTGTAGATTCAGAGACAGAAACATGGGGTGGGGGTTCAAACATGGCTACTGTGTGAAGCTGCACCCTGACAAAGCTTTATATGCCTTCCAGGCTCTGCTCAGACCTGCTCGAAAACAGCCTTCACCTTTACATAAATGTCAAGCTTCACTGAAACACCACAAACCCAGCTGTTTACGTCACAGTCACACGATGTTAATGGCCTCAGTTCATCAGATTTTACATGTAAATATACACTGAACATGTCTTGATGAGCAGGATCACACAGATTCTGTGTGCATGAGAGAAAAAAAACAGTATTTAAGCAGCAGTATACCTGAAACATGTGATGTGTGTTACAGGAGTTTGAGTCATGCTGGTCTGAACATGTTACAGTTAGGTTACGACTACATGTACATGGGGATTTTTGAAAACGCAGCTTTTTCTATGCGCTTGGGCCTTTTGTTCACACGTAAACTGCGTTTTGGGTGACAGAGATTTTTTTAAAACTCCTGGCAGGGTGGAGATTTTCGAGAACTCGTTTTTCGCGTTTAGGTGTGGAGGAAAACGGAGATTTAGTCACGCAACGTCTGGACCACAAATCACTCCACATTCGCTATTGTTCCCCGATTGCACCATATTTGAATTACTGTGCAGAGGTGTGGGGAAATACTTACAAATGTTCGCTATCATCAATCTTTCTATTACAAAAAAGGGCCATAAGGATAATCCATAAAACTG